AGACCTCTCCAGCTTCAACAGGGGGGATTTTCTCCCCATCAGCACCGCACAGCACCTCGGTACCAGGAGGGGTGAGAGGAATCGATACCTGAAAATGAGGAGGTGAAGCTGCGTGGATGTGCCAGACGGGGCAGGAGGGGATGGACCAGAGGGGATCAGGGCACAGATGGGGGCACAGGGGAGCAGCTCTGGGCGCATTGGGAGGATGGAGGATGCTGGTGCAAGGAGCAGCAGCAGCAGCAGCATCCCCATGTGTGGTTCCCTCCCTTTACCAAAATTTCAGCTTCTGCAAAACCTGCCCCTGGCCCCATGCACAGCATAGAGGACACCCCCGCACAGCACTTCTGGGGTGCAAAGTCGTGTTTTAGCAAACCCCACACTCCTGACGGGCTGCAGGAGGGAAGTGGTTGAACAGCAACAGCCAGAAATGTTCCCAGTCGATGTATTTCAGTTTAGGAGCTCCTCAGGCCCAATGATATTTTCCAATTCCTGGCTCTGGAACAAGCAAAACGTATTTTAAGGGGAAAATCCTGAAGGGAAAGCGAAACAAACGCCACCCTTACGGCTGGCACATGCTGAGGAGAGGCCACTGAGACACTAAAGATGCTCTTCAAGCCACCTCCTTCTATTGCAGAAATGCAGCAATACAAATCTGTATCAATTTAATCCTTTGCACAGCCACAGAGCATGGAAAACAGTAAGAATTTCACCTTGAGTCAGCGAATAGCTCAAAATTTATCACAAGAGGAGGAGCATTCTCTTGCTGCTCTCTAGTGGCAGGCAGCATCAGCAAAATCAGAAGACGCTGAGTTCTGCAGCTTCAAAGGGTTTTGTCCAGTAAATCTGTGCTGAATTAATACAACTTAGACATCAGTGCAAACAGCGTGATGGGGAATTAACTGGGTATTTGGATATCTCATCTTGTTCTTCATGAAACATCTGATAAGTGACCATCCCTAAACCTCTCACCCCAAATCCAGGATCACTCAGAATTGCCACAAGGAACTGAAACAGGAACACTTCAACGATGAAGGAAGTTTTGGCTAGGAACTGAAGAACCCAAAACTATTGAAGCAGCAAAATGCAGCGTATTTTTAGGGCCAGGAATTTTAAGTAAACTTCAGTGGAAGTCTTGAGGAGCTGAGAATTTCTCTCCAATAAACACAGGGGTTGTTGCATTGCAGTATTATTGCAGCTGCTCCTAGTGAAGGGCTCAGCTGTGGCTACAACAGGAAAGCAGCAATGAAAAAAGAGACAGAGAGAGACAAATATTTGGGAAGAAAACCCCCCATACGACTGAGTTCGATCCCATAGATCAGCTCCAACCGCCTCCACAATTAAAAACGGTTTATTGTAGAATTGCACTCCAGTTAGTACCATAATTCCTTATAAACATAATATACAGTACAATATTTTACACGTCGCACACCAGGCGGATGCGTCTGATGTTACAAAATTTACAGTTCAGGATCAAACTTCTCCAGAGGCTGCAGCCAGAGCAGGAGACAACGAGTCCTGAATGACACTGAACCCCACAGAGCAGCACGACCTGGTCTCTACTTCACCACATGCACCATGGAACCAGAGATGTCAGAAACGCTCTATGTTGTCCCTCAAGTTACTAAACAGCAGGAAAAAATAAGTTTAAGCAGAGTTGTTGTGAATGATGGTTCGTAATCACCCAGTTTCCTCATTCCCTAACTGGTCAGAATTGGATTTCTTTCTGGATGGGTGCAGCTTGCATGGAAACAACAGAATTTAAGAGTTTACAAACCAGACAACTGCCCCCAAGCCAGCAAATAACCCCCCCCTACACCTCCCTGTCCTCTCCCACATCTGTCATCCGCATCCTTCCCTCTCCACACATACATTCAGCAGGCATATAAAGAATAAGAATATAAACAGCAATAAAAACTTGGAAAGAAATCTTTACCACACTGCCTCAGAAGACCGGGACCTTTTTTAAAGTACCCGTTTCAAGTATAAATTAGAGCTTCTTAAAATGTCAAGCGAACAAATGGTGGACAGGAGAGAAGAGGACATTGGAGGGAGCCATAGCTACCCTTGTACGTAGTTAACAGTGCTTTTCTCTTACCCAAACCTGCAGAAATGACCTCCTTTACCCGTGCTTTAAGCTAACAGGGGCATTTCTGTGTAGATCTGTCACATCAACAGCATTTTCAGACGAAACCAATACCATTGGAACACGTGGAGTTACAGTAGTGTTGTTTCCTTAATGCTGGGGACAGACCAAGTTACCAATTCACTGCAAACCAAGCCTGGGTTTTGTGCTCTCGTTTGCCATGGAGCACTGGGAAAAAGCAAAGGGGAATAAATAAACCAGGCCGTTGCCTGGACATCACTGGATCTCGTGAAGCAGAAGTATGTGTGAGTGCTGGTGAAACAAACCACGACTGGCAGAGGGGATTCAGCCTCTGGCCCCGAGCAGAACCACTCAGCTCTCCAGGTACTGGAAAATGCTTCGGCTTCGAGGGGTTTCCTCTGCGCTTTCTGCCCTGGGCCGTTTGGCCTGGGACGTGATCACGGCGGTGGGACCCCTCTTCTTCACCTACAGGGATAGGATACATGGGAATACAGCGAATCTCTGAGTTACGAGAGAATTCTCTGGTGTGAAAGCACACACTAGGAAACCCTGGAGAATATTTAAAACCGCATTGCTCTTTACTCGGCAGCGCTCAGTGTCCGTACGTGTAAGTAATCCACACAGCCCACTGCACACAAATCCTACCTGGAGTTTTGATTTCTCCTTTGCCTCTTCGTTCTTGTCTGGGGAAAGCGTATGGAAGACAAAATTCCTTGAGTTTCGAGGCGCGTTGGGGTTAAGATCCGACATGGCTGCGAGTTTCTCGAGGACGGCTTTAGGTCTGTTCAGGAGAGACCCATTTTTTATCTGGAGAATAAAGAAACGCTGCGTTAAACCACCCACACGAACAAGACAGCTCCTGTAGTAGGTTACTCTGAATAGAAATGACTACTAGAATGTTACAACCGTAAGGACCAGAAATGGGTTGAATGCAGGGTCAGCTGCTGGGTTTACAGCTGCGGTTTGGAAACACCATCACCAACCATCACAGCACCACCACCACCACCACCACCACCAACCTGGACGTCACCAGCGGGTCTGAAGGCCTCAAAGGGGTTCCTGGGCAGCAGGGTCGTGTCTGGAACCGCTACCGCGGGGTTTGCTGGCAGGGACAGAGAGGAAACGTCACTTTCTGAACTGCATTTGAAGTAACAACTTGATATCAAACAACTTAGAATCAACAGCAAGCACTGTCCACGGGTGACGCCTGCAAGTTAAGCTCTCCCTCATTTGACTGTCACTTCAATAAAAGCAAGGTTACCTTTCTTCTGCAGGGACTTGGCAGTTACTTTTTTAGCGAGTTTCATGAACTGGCTGTCCTCACCAATCTCCTCCTCCTCCTCCTGCTCTTTGGTTTTTTCCTTCTGTATCAGAGAGAAGATACTTTGTTAAACTGAAAAAGTTCATGGTAAGAACATTTCATTCAGGATTACTTAGATCGAGTCCTTTCGTTATGTAAATTAATGGACTTTATTCGCTTTCTACCATAGAAGTTTACTGCAATTTCTTGGATACATTATCATCCTCATGTTATTAATGGACCTGTGCTATCTCATGCAGCTGACAAAGCTGACCCAATACTGAAACTTCTGAAACATGAACTCGTGCTCCCAGTGTCAGACTTATCCCAGCTTTAAACTGCGTTATTTCAGAACACAGATGTTTAACCTCTCCCTTCTGAATTAGCTTCTGTCTGCACAATACTTGGAGAAAGGGCAGAATTCATGGTGAAAACCAAAGATACGTTTGTGAATGGTATTTTCTCCAGAGTTTAACTTGAGGAGTTAACAGTTTCACATCCAGCCATGGTACAAAGACTGAGCAAGGCGTCTTTCCTGAAGCTGACCCATACCTGCTCACGGAGCCACCGCTCTCGTTCAAATCGCTCTTTCCTCCAGTTCGCTTCCGTCTCATCAAACTGCTCATCCTCATCATCGTTATCCGAATCCTTCTGAAACAAGTCGACCTGCGAAGCATAATCTAGACAAAGGATAAAAGAATAGCCATCAATTTTAAGAAAGGCATAAAATATGCAGATTCTAGAGCCACCCTCCAACCCCAATTTATTTCTGAAAGACTTCATTTGCTTCTACTGAGCGCTATTCCACACACACACACACACACACACACACACAGACACACTCTCTCTTTTCAGTGTTTCCCACCACGGATCAGAAAAGCACCTATGTTTTTCCACCGGAACCTCCTGGTCCTGCCAGGGCCATCGCTGTGCAGGTCCCCATCCGCCAGGTACCGCTCCTGGTACAGGCGCAGCTGCCGCTTGTCATCGTCAAGCATCGCCTTCCTGTCCACACAGCAGAGGGAGAGGTCAATCTGGATTACATCTGAGTGCCGTGACTTCACACACAAACACATACAGCAATACCAGCACTGACATGTGAAATTTCTGTATCTGATTTTCCAGTTCCACTTCGTTGGGGAGTTCCTCATCAATAATCTCTTCCTCGTATTCGTTCAGGTCTTCGCTGTCGTATTCATCGTCGCTTCCCACGTCGCTCCCTGACAGCTCTGCCTCATCCTCCATGAAATCCTGCAGTTTTCTGTAGAAGAACACGAACAGAAATCAGTCCCATAGACCAATAATCATCACACAAATCTGCTGAAAGCAAGATTTATCTTTTGGCATAAAGTCAACACATATCCTAAGGAGAAATTACAATTCATCTTTAATTTTTTAAAGAATTTTTAAAATTACTGAGTAATTTTGGCCCAAAACACGCTGCATTGCTTTCAGCGAGGCATTTTTATTTCCATCTATAATGGAAATCCTCTATAGCCCACCACAACCTGAGCCAACGCTGTACAGACATCAGCTACTAATGCTGGGGAAGGAATGACTGAATTTCTCGTGCTGCTAATTTCCTATTCTGTCGGGCAATTACGACACAAAGATGCACTTACAGCTTCTTCTTCAAGCCCTGCCTGTGCCTCAGCAGTTCCTCTTCTTCATCGCTTGCTTCTGCTTCTTCAGGATCATCGTCTCCACTTTTTTCATCCTGTCAAAGAGAAAGTGCTCAGAAATCGAGGAATTTCTGAAAGCAGACTGCACTGTAATGAGTTTATTCTGTTCTTCAGTCAAACACAGAGCAAAACACCACAGACTCTTCAGAGATGCTTTATCCCGTACATTATTATATTGCGTGGACTTTTTAAGTGATCCAAAAGTTGCTCTTAGAAATGTTTCAGTAACTTGCTCTGGAGGTTACAATACTTTGCACTGATGGTTATATTAAAAAACCAAGTAGATAAATGCAGTTCTGAGAATGCTGCAGCAGCTGCTTTGCTCCGTCAGCTCGTACCTCTTCGCTGTCAAAGGCGTTGTCATCTGTTAAAAGCCGAAAATCACCAAATTCTTCTTGCTCCTCCTCATCTTCCTCTTCCCTAGGGGAAAAGTGAATGAGAAACCCACACGTTTCTGTTTCACCCCCAATGATGGCTTTGCAGGGGTTCAAGGCAAGACCTCAACCATCGTGAGCTGCTCTCAAGCGATTACCTGTGCGTGCCCAAAGAGCTGAGGTCGCTCACAGCGTTTAGCTTCAGCTGCCCACACCCCGTCAGCACTGACTTTTTAAGACTCCAGGTCTTCACTTGCAGAAACCATGGGGCGAGTTTTAAATCCCAAATTTGCTCCCCTCTCAAATTCCTCCTGGATCTCCTAACATTTGAGCCTCATTATGCTCTCATCACACAGCCACACACCTTTCCAGTTTCAGCAATGGGAAAATGCCAGCATCCGGCTCACATTTGGTTATGGTTCCTGTTGGCAACAGCCCGGAACAGAACCCAAACTCTTACATTTTAACAACCTTTTCTCAGTTTGTTGACCATTTTTCAACATTTCTTTCCCTTTCAGTGAAAGACAAAGAGTTTCCCTCCATGGTAGCTGAATAAACTGCTGATTGAGAAAGTGACTGCTGAGCAATTTGCAATATTCCTTCCCTTCATCTCCAAACCAGACCACACTTACTTACAGGAGTTCCAATTGACGTTGAACAAGAAAACACATTAAGGGGAAAACAATTACTTTAAAAATTTGTAAATCTTAGGAAGAGTAATGCTAACCTGTCCGTGGGAAAGGAGCCTGAGCAAAGTGCCAGAGCTTCTGCCATTGGATCCTCGATGTCGCTGTCTTTTTCTGCCTTGGAAGACACTGAAGACGCCCACGTTGGAGAGCCTGCTACAAAAAGTAGTAAGATGGCAACTTAGACAGCTACATTTCTATTCTTAAAATGTAGAGAGCATCTCAGAAAGGATGGCTCACATCCTTCCACAGAGGCAACACATTTTTAGAGCTCTCTGAAGTTCCACGTCCTGCATTAATGCCCAGAACTAAAGGGTACCGTAGCACAAAGCTTATAAATCAAGTAAGCAGCAAAGCTGAAAACAGAACTCGGGACGTACTCTGGGACACGAACTTTCCTGAGCACAGATTGAGCAGTTCTTCCATGTTCTGCTTTTTGTTGCTGCTGCTGTTTGACGCATGTTCGGCTCGGCCGCTGAACTGCCCAGAACACAGGTCCAGCAACTCGTCCATGTTGGCATCCATGGCATTCTCGTCCATGCTGGCCAGAGGCAGCTGATGCTTCGAGGACTGGTATTTGCTCCTGTGCTGCCCAACATTCAAGAACCTGAAAGAAAAGCTGTAGTTAGAAAAGCCTTGCTTATCCGTACGTCTTATATCTGACCAAGGGCTCAAAACGCCACCCTTTACACCCCTACCTACCCATCTGCATCAAGCAGCTGGCTCTGAGTGTCGTCTTCCAGAGAAAACTGAAATTGTGACTCCCCAGTGCTGGGAAATAAACTCTTGGGCTCAGGAGAGGCGTTGTACAGGTCCTGGGAATCCTCTATGGGGAGGGAGGGCTCAGACGTCTTTCCCGAGCTCTGGTCAAAGGGATGTAACAATACACAGGTTATTGGTTCTGCAATCCTGGAAGCCAAAAGCAAGAATGGGATGAAACACTGAAGCTATTTTAAAGGATTAACACCGTGCAGGAGTCAAGCGTGTCCACACCGCTCTGATAAATCACCAGAGTTCACTGCTATCAGATGTTGTGCAGCCCATGTAAGTAGACTTAAAAAAATATGTACTATGTGCACATTTTAGATACCAAAAGCAGGTTATAGCATATTTTCTTTGGTGTTTTTGAATGTAAGTTTTCATAATGTCATTTTTATCCATTCCAACGTGGTGACATTTTACACTCCGAAATCTTTCTCATATTAAAGTATTTCTCTAGATGCCTTCTTCTGCCATCATTTTTCTGCCGGATCTGACAGCCAGGATAAAACACATTTATTCTCTGCCCATTGTGTTACTGCAGGACTGGAATGGGACAGAGCTTTACCTTGGAAGCAGAGCTGAGAAAGCTGGTTTTGAAAAAGCCTGGGGAAGGCGACCTGAACCCCCCGGCTGCGGACAAGAAGTTGCCCCCGCGCGACATCTGCTTGTTGCAGGGCTGATAGGAGGGGATCATGGAGCCGATCAGCTCGAAGCTGCTGTTGTGGCTGTTCTCTTTGGCCAGCGTTGGGAGAGAAAACGAATCATCATCGTCTGGGAAAAGAAAATAAAATACACACAGTGCTTAACTTCTCTTTTTGTGATCCAGTAAAACCCCAAGGTAGTGTTTGCAACACTGACACCTTGCTAAAAACCCATTATTTTGTGCTCATCTTGGATTTCTTTCTTCACAGAGGATGTGCATTGCACTTTTTCACTGACTTTCATCTTACTGATTTCTCATTGTTTCTGTATTTTTTCCAGTATCACTTTGAACTTTATTTTTCTCTACTTTATTCAAACCCTCTCACTTGTTTTATAATCACGTTGTACAACTATACAGGTGATAAAGTAACACCATTGAATACCAACCCCAAACCTTCTACACGTGCCACGTGAGAACCGTGCCAGCTATAAAAGAGTTGCACTGTACCTAACTTGGTAGGGCCTTTGTCTGCTGCTTCTTCCATTTCAGGTTTCTCATCAGGAAGAGAATATCTGCAATGCATTAAATAAAAAGTGTATTTGTCAATATATACAAGATGAATCGCTATTGTCTGTCAAAGCTACTTGCAAAAAACCAAGGTAAGACAAAAACACATCTAGTGCACTTTGAGCAAGAAATGGATTCTTCCACTAAGCAACAGCCTAAGTTTTTTAAAAGAAAATATACATGAATGCACATGTAACTACTGAAACGAGACAGGAAAGTTACTTATAAGTAATGCTTTAAATCAACACATCTACGTGTCCTGATTGGTTTTAAAACTGCTCAGGCACCGTTTTTAAAGCTTGGGTTGTTTACCCCATTTTGGAGGAGCTGTCCTTAAAAAGCATCAACGTCGACTCTGTTGAAGGTGGTTTGGGAACAGAATCACAGTGCACGGATTTCTCCAGCTTTTCTCCATCAATCGATTCTTTGTCCATTTCTTTATCGCCATCTTCAAGGTGTTTCTCCTCTGTATCTTCGTTATCTTCCTCTGCCTCCCCAAGCAGAAATTCCACGTTCTAGAAAACACCCCCAGACACAGCAGAGACACGGTGATCATTGCTTGGATCTGCCACCTTCACTGCAAGCTTTCCAAGAAAGTGTTTTAAAACATGCAGAGGATGAAGCTGAGAGACTTGTACAAATCTGATTTAATTGGGGAGACACAGAATTAAGAAGCTGACCAGGTTAGGTAAAAATGTTGCATACAGACCTCATCACTGCCTTCTTCTTCTTCTTCCTCTTCTCCTTCTTCTTCTCCTTCCTCCTCCTCTTCCTCAGACTCATCTGTCATCTCTTCCTCCTCCTCCTCCTCCTCCAGCACCTCCTCGTTATCCAGCTTGAACAACGCTTGCCGCTTCTGGCGCTCCTCGGTCCTGCGCAGCTTCATGGCCTCCTGGAGCTTCGCCTTCAGCATCTGCAGCTTTTCACCTGGGCAGAAATGAGTAAACAAACACATTAGGTGTGCTGCAGCGAATCCTTGACGTCGCTGCCTTCAAGCATCTGATCTAACATAACTACACATAAAGTGGGAATTAAAAATTTCCTTGGGATTAAACACTTTTATTAATTGCTCTGCCAGCTCTAAGAGCCAGAGCAGTTGGTTTCAATGAGCTCAATTTAGAGACCACACAGTCTCATGAATTATCAAGATTCCTCATTCTCCTCCAAATGAGAACAGGCTCTGCCTCTGCGCTGAGCCTTTTGGGAACAAGAGCATCCAGTCGCCATGGGCAGATGTGCTACACACATGAAATAATGAAGAGCAGATAAAAATAACACATGCCCGTAGAACCAGCCAAATGATCCATTTCTTTTAATGGATGCTATGGGGGAGTCATGTTCCAGGTGTATTTTTGTTTGCAGATATATACAATTCTATTAGAAACTGCAGGACAGAAGTCAGGAAGCATGAGAGATATAATCAATGGTAACAGCTCACATGAAGAGTTGCATTCAGAGATGTAAAACAGATGGAAACCAACAGTGTGGATATACATTTATACAAATTTGGGTGCAGATGCACAAGACAAAGTGTTTTCCAACACAACCATCATCACTCCTCCTCCTAAACCGACCTGGCTTGGTGTGCACCGCTTCCTCCAGGCTCTCAGCAGCCAGCACCACTGGTACCACGTCCGCTCGCAGCTCCTCCTTCCCTTCAGAGGTCGTCTCCTTACGAATAATGCTCATGCTTATGCTCCGTTCAGCTTTGGGTTTGGACGCTTTGAGAGTGTGCTTCAAGAAACGTGCTTTCAGGGCTTCCAGTTCTTTAAGGACACATTAATTTCATTTAAAAATGCAAACTAAATTCATTTTCATATCATTTCGTAGCATTTAAAAGTATTGAGTGTTAAAATCTCGAGAGTCGGTCTTTACTTTTTCAAGGAAGTCAGTTAAAAACCCTAAACCTACAGCGGCAATCGCCCCGAAACACAGGCCAGCTCTGTTCCAGATATTACTGCATGCTCGTTTTGAATCAATTTGGAAAAAGTGCTCCCATGTGCTTTAAGTACCAACACAATTCACTCCAGCAAAATGGAGATAAATCATTCATCATTAAATAGTTATCACGGAGAGCTCCTTCAAGCTTTCAAACACTCAGCCCTAAGAACCTCCTTTCTAAGCACCAGCCCCAGTGGACATCAACGTTAACCAAAGAACCCACACTAGTGAGGCTTTTCCTGTTACAGTCAGGTTAACACTGCTTCCTTGGACAGCTATGCCAGGGTGACAACAGTAAAAGCAATACCTTTATTGGAATCAGATTCATCGAGGTTTATGAAGGATTCGTTGCTGGAGCAGATCCGTGGTGTGATGGACAAGTCCACTCCCAGCTCACGCAGTTTATCCAGCTTGGACTTCTTCGCTTTTTCAGGCTGTGCCCCCAGCCCAGGCCCTTGTTGGTTGCTTTTTTCACCATCTAAGCCTGGTGCTGTCTCATCTCTTTGCTCAAGGGCATCTCCTCCACTTGCTGGAGGAGCTTCCTTCTCCTTTTGTTCACTACAAGCAGTGCTTAGGGGGTCCGCACGCTGCTGTTTCGCATTAGTCTCCGTTGTATCAGTCTGAGCTGTGTGAGCATCACCACTGGGCTCTTCAGCACAGTTTTCTGTCACGTTCTTCCCCACATCAGCAGGTTTGTTCGCAGCAGCACCAACCTCTCTGCCAAGGCTCGTTGCTGCTTCGTTAACTGCTGATCCATCGCCCTCAGTGCGCCCGTCTTTGCAACCCGTGCTCGAGCTCTTCGTGTCTGCAGAGTCTTCTTCTAGGGACAGCTGGTATTTGGTGGACCTAACGAGGGCAGAAAGAAATACATCACCCATGGCTGTTGTGGAAGGGGAAAAGAGGTTGAGAATGAACTCAGAGAGAAATAATTTTCTAATTATTGCCATTAATTTGTAGGAAGAGGTAAGGGATAAGGAGACAGAAGTCTGGAAAACCTCATTTGAGGAGATAAGGAAGCTGAAGTGTAGAGCAGTGTCCAGTCTGTACCAGTTACATGACCACGGTATAAAATTCCCAAGAGGTTTTGTGACAGCAGTGGCTTAAGTATTTCACTACACATTACTCAGAAGCATAAATAGTCCAAGTAAAATGTTGTGGTCCAGTCTAAATCACATTAAAGTAACTTTGCATGAGCATTTTCCTTCATCTGGGGTTACTATTAGGCCCCAATTACTTCAATGGTACAACTGTGTTAAGAGCACAGCATTGCCTTACGTTAACTGTGACACACTCCTTATTTTGAGGTGTTCATGGAATTAAAGGAGTCTAAGAAAGTTTTCTAACTAAAATCTTCCAGTCAAAGCAACAGCAAAAATTAAGCCAGAAACAGGACGTGACAGCAGACAGAGCAGTTGTGTGTTGTACGACGCCTGCAGCATGCACGAGTCTGGTCATCCTCAAAAGCAAAGCTGGAATATCCTCAGAATTCATTAAAAAAATATACACGAGGAAGGTTGAAGTCCTTACTTGAGCAAGGCCATGGCGTTTCCTTGGCACAGCGGTCGAGGTCTCCGCTTGTAGAAGTCGTGAATGGTTTTGGTCTCGGGGACGTGGTACGGGAGAGACACAGACGACTCTGCCCGAAAAAGCGGGAAAGGAAAATTTAAACATCATCCCAGAAACAGAAAGAGGCTTGACACAAGCATTTCGCAGCAAAAGACACCCGACTCTGCACAATCAGCACAGTTGAACTTGGATACAGCAGACGCTGCTGTTGGGGAAGGAGCTCCAACAGCACCAGCCTTGAAGACCAAATCTGCAGCGTGTCCATGGATTCACCACGAAATGAACTGTGATGTTAGCACCAGAACAGCAGGACCTGCTTCAGTTTTATTACTTGCCTGTGAAACTCTAAATATTCCACTAACTTCACACATGTTTACAGCCTCAAGCATTTACAGCATGAGTTGTTTCTCATTAGTTACAAAGATACCTTCTAACAAGTCCTTGAATAAAGATGGTCTTGCACCTTGCAGACCCAAATTCATGCTAGGTCAAAGAAGGCTCTGGCCTTTTGGGTAAATTCTTTCAATTTCTTAATAGTTTATACCCCTCTACATACAAAGAATTCAAGTTTTACCTCTAATAAGTCGCTGGGTCTCACTATGTAGCTGTTTAATGGCTTCTTTACTTAACCTGGCTGCTTTCCGCTCCTTAAGGAAAGAAAAGAATTGGCTTCTGGTCAGAAAACAAAATATGGGACCCTAGCTACACTTTTTAAATAGCTTATTCTTCCCTTTTAAACAAACATTAAGTCAAAATACAGCAGCCAGCTAAAAAATAAATATTTAAAATAGCAAATCAACACAAACACCGGACAGCGTGCACGTAAAAAGTGTTTGAGACAATAATGGGGAGCTGTAAAGAGATGAATATTTTACCTTCCTTTTTGGTTCTCTTAATCCAGGCTCGTCATTCTCATCATCAAACACGTGTCTGTAGCCTTCCCCCTCAGAAAAGCGCTCTTTGTTCTACAGAGCAGAAAAGGAGATTCATGTGTTTGTCTCGATACACGGGCACCACCAAGGGCAAACAAGTACTAAAATAATTGTACAGAGTCATCACTGGCCATCAAACCCAGCCAAACCAGCAAGTGCTCTCGGACACCAACACCACACAACACTTCTGGTAGATTTCCACAGCTTCTGCTGTATCTTTGTGCTGTCCAGGACAAGATCCCTCCACCTTCAAGAGCAAAAAGCAGAGCACCCTTCTCTCCTCTCACAGCAGCAGAAGTGCTCCATTGTCCAGAAGAGCTTTAATACACGCTCAGTTTACAATAATAACCTATATAAAACCAATAAATAACCCCTATAACCAATAATCTCGTATCAATATCAAACATTACCTTATATTTCTTTACTTTGTTTTTCACTGCCGCTCGTATTGATTCGATCGACTCCCCATCCTCTGGGGTGTCATCGTTTTCCTCTTCTAAGCCATTATCAAAGAGCTCTTTGTCATCCAGAAGACATCCACTGTCATTAAAGGGATACCTCGTGCCACCATCAACCTGTTTGCCATAAGAATAAAGGATCTGTGCAATTCATTTCAGTCCCCTTCAGTTCTTTGACATCAATTTAAGATTACTGTGGAAAGGTCTTAAGGAAAGAAGTTAGATAAAGTACACGTCATCTTAAATCCAGCACGCTGTGTGTCCTGTAAGCTGTCATATTCACTATGAGGTAACTCACGGAGCAGTGCTCCCTACAGCTATGATAAGCAGGAAAGTTCAACAATTACTGAAGACTAAAATGGCCCAGAGAGAATAAATTATCACTTGAAATATGATTTTATAAGTAGCAACAATATCCAGCCTCCCAAGCAGCCACTTCTTTAGACCTGAATCCCAATCTGAGAACAGCCCAAAGCTTCCTCCAGGAATGGACACAAACTGGAACACAGGAGGTTCCACTTCAATTGGAGAAGAAACTTCTTCTCAGTGAGGGTGACAGAGCCCTGGCCCAGGCTGCCCAGACAGGTTGTGGAGTCTCCTTCTCTGCAGACATTCAAAACCCGCCTGGACGCCTTCCTGTGCAACCTCATCCGGGTGTTCCTGCTCCGGCAGGGGGATTGGACTGGATGAGCTTTGGAGGTCCCTTCCAATCCCTGACGGTTTGGGATTCTGTGAACTTGCACAGCAACGCAGAGAAAAGCTCAAACACAACCAGAGCCGTTTGTGCACACAACAAACCCAGAGAGTTTCTGCCTGGCTCAACACGCGCTGACGTTCAATCATCAAGGCTGAGGGTCTCTACTTTCTCTGCAGATGAAGCTGGGGACTTATCCAGCGCCTGCAGTAGGAACGTGGGCACCGGCAATGCTGAAGCACTGAAACATCACATCCAAACGCAGAAATAAACATAACTTAGTTGAGAAAACATCTGAGATTCCCTACCAAAACACATACCTCTGCTGGAGGCTTCTTTTCCTTCTTCAGTCTTTTAAGCAACTCAATTCTTCTCTCCTTCTCCTTCCTTCTTCTGGATTTTCCTACAGCTCTTTTTGCTGTCTCTTCTTCAGAATCACCATTATGCTCTTTATGTTTCCTGAACTTCTTCCCCGATTTTAGGGGTCTCTCCTCTTCCAACTCATTCTCAGACAAGCCAGCCTTTCTCTTTGTTTCAAGGTTTTCAATCTGCAGTCGGTCCCCAGTGTCGCTGTCGTCGCTGTCTAACAGACCCAGGCGAATCCGATGGGATTTCTTATTTCTCTGGGCAGTAATGTTCTCTTTTTCCTCTTCATTTTCCTTGTCTCCACCCAGAGCATCGTTCTGCACAAAGGAGCCATCATCCTCTCCATCTTCACTCTCACTGTCCTGAAGCACCTTCTTGCCTTTTGCCTTTTTACGTACAAAAATCTCTTCCTCTGAATCTGTCAAAACATATTAAAGAAATTATGTGCACTACGGAGAGGAAAATTCCACAAGTTAATAGAATCAATCAGTTAAATATGTTACATATCTGTTGAATTTCACAGATGTCAACATCTGCAGCAAATCAGCTTGAAGTCAAGTTCTCAAAACCCAGCTCTTCCTGTAGTGCAGTACATCATTAACACAACTTGATATTATAGGTTTTTCACCTTTAAAAAAAGGGCAAAGCTGAAAAATCTTCATGGACAGTGACTTGCCTTGAAATAGTAATAAAAGCCACAGTAACGAACTAACTACACAGGTTAAACAAATCATAAAAAGAAAGGAAATAAGTGATTAGGACACTCACATACCACTTACTATTTCCCTCTCTGCACCTCAAAAGACACTTTTCAGAGATTGACAGACGTCTGCTCACAATGTGAGCAGAAAAAATAAGCAGTTTGGATGCTTAGGGGTGAAGCAAAGCCAAGCTCCTGAGCAGGTATTTACAAAACAAACACCACAGACCTCTGTCCTCCAGAGACGCCGTGTCCTTGCCGCAGCGGCCAGGAGAGGCCGTTTCACAGCTGCCCTGGCCACTGTCAGAGCCACTGTCCAGGGTTTGCTCCAACTCCAGATTCAAATCTTCTGACGGAAACTACGAAGCAAAACAGAATTTTCCTTACTATGGTAAATGTTGTTTGTGTAGCAGTGACTTTTGGTGTCTAACTTCATGCCAAAACCTTGGCTGACTCCTTATGTACAATTATGTACACATACATTGTTATGTTTGAAGAATTAATTGGCATTTACATGAAGAGGTCTTTCACTACATCAGTTTCTATTAGCACTTAGATACATCTGAGGTGAATTTTCTGTGCACGAAAAGAGAATCCCCATATTGCCTCACCTCCACTGATGACTCCTCAAAACCATCCGAATGAAAAGGATAGAGAAACATAAAACTTTATTCTCTCACATGCTCACCTCACGGAAATTAATTAATTTTAACTACAATACTAAATATTTTTTATGGATGGGGGTGCCTGGACACCGACCCCAGGACACCAAGGAGCACCCTTCGCTCCCAGCATGCCCCGCGCCCACCCGCCGCCTTCCCAGCATGCCCCGCGCCACGGCCGGTCCTACACCCACCGGCCAAGCACAGCCCTGCCTGGGCGCACTGGGGGGGGACGGGGGGGCAGCGGGGCAGAGCCGGGAAGGGGAATTTGC